TGTCCAAAGCCTTGCATAACACCTCATCATACTCCTTCGCCAATGAATCAACACTTTGTGAGATACACCCGTCTGACAAACCAGATGATCCAGTCATCTCATTGAAAGTATCAAAATCAAATCCCTTTAATTTACGAGACAACAGTCCTCCTCTCATTTAATGATTTCCGTAAATTCAAATTAAAGTAAACAGCCTTATGATCGAGTTAAACTGTTCCATGACTGTAACATTCTTTAGGCCTAAGGCACCCTCAGTCTCATTCCTTGTAATAACCAAGTCCAATATATGACCTCGTTTATGGGTGGGTACACACACATGTTGCTTTAAATTGAACAAATCCAGTAACTGTCCAAATCGTGTCGCGTGCCAATCAGCCTTGTCGTCCATATGGAAGTTAAAATCCCCGTATATCAAAAGCTCTTCTGGGCATATTACAGTCTCTTGCAATAGACTAGAAAATTCCTCTGGAAAGACTCCAACTGACGCACCCACCGGGGGACGGTAGACAATGATTGCTCTCAAACTCTTACGAGCAACAAAAGTGACATCAATGCATTCAAACGATGTAAAAGAATGCTCAAATAACCTTGTTTTAGAGCCAATACCTTGCTTGTAAAGAAGGCCCACGCCTCCGCCTCACCCTGCCAACCGTGGGGAGTGCAGGAGACGATAACCATTCGAACAAAGCTCTCCAATAGTCACTTCACTACCTTCCACATGCAGCCATGTTTCTGTAATCCCCAACAAATCCACCTTGTAATCCACAACAATAAGTGTTTTGTTGCATAGTGAGCGAGCGTTCATAAGGCATGAGGTGAATTCCCTGTTTAACGAAAAATTAGGAGCAACACTAATGTGATCCAAAGAACGAAGATTATGCAAATTATCTCCCTTTGGAAGAGAATGTCCACTCCACAGGTGACCATTCTTGACCATTCTATTTGAAGAAACAATTGTTGTGGTCCTATTATTAGGGCCTGGATTCAGTTGGAACACCAAGTCGCCTACATCTAAAATAAGATGGAAAGTTGCATTCGAGTTCGCATAGTAAGCACACGGTCTTTTCTGTGGCCTAAACTTGATCTTTAGCGAACCACGACCAGTGTTTGGGGAGCCCAGCAACACAATGAAGCGTCCAAGAAAACCATTGTTAGAATTCCAGGGCAGCCAATACAATAGATCGCAATCAGCATGCAAATGACCATGCAAATGATCAGCTAAACTTTTGTTTCGGAAAACCAGCGAAGCCAAGGATGAATAATCTTGGAATTCCCTTACGTTCGTCCATTTCTCGCAACCAAAACCACTCCAGCGATAAGATCCCCCATTTAGACATATTCTAGACTGTTCTATCGTGCAGAACAGTTGTCCGTAAAGGAGGAAAAATAACGTAAATGCGGATCACAAAATATCGTGTCCAGCCGCATCACGCATCATTGAGCATCATTGAGCATAATGGTATCGTAACGTGAACGGGGCTAAAGCTCAATCGGTAGAGCGCTCGCTTTCAAGGGAGAGGTTCAGAGATCGAAACTCTGTAGTTCCACTTTTTTCTTCGGGTTAAAGAAACTTGCGTAAAAACATATCTAAAGAGTTGACTCTACCAGGACTTGAACCTGGAATCTCCTGATCCGTAGTCAGGCGCCTTATCCATTCGGCCATAGAGTCGTTTTAATTTTAAAAGGAAGGCATAGCGAGGTTTTGATAGAAAAAAGAACGAAAAATTGAAGTAGACAAAAAGAAACCTGAAAGAGAAGCGAGAGGATTTGAACTGGTGAGCCTAGAATTTAAATAAACAGCGCCCCTACTAATGTCAACGCTTGGCGCTAAACATGTTCATGGCTGAAAAAAAAGGAAAAAATAAAATTAAAAAAGCATCGCTGAAGTCTGTGATCGTTTGAAGGAACATAAACCACAGCGATGAAAACGTCTTGGCCGGGATTTGAACCTGGGTCTTCTGCGTGACAGGCAGAGATACTAAGTGGCTGTACTACCGAGACTTTCTGAGTATTGGTCATAACTTTTATTGAGCTGGTGGCTCCTAAAAGAGCCGTTGTGTTTTTGTTTGTAGGAAGACTAATACCATCGTGTCCGCTTATTTAAACGGAAAGAAGTGTAGGACGATGGTGTATAAGGATAAGCGCTTATAATTTCCCATTTATCGCCCTCATGTTTTTCTGAGTAATAAATAGCGATATGTTTTGCGGGAAAACCTTTAGAGTACCTCCCGATCACATTGTGGACAGCAAACAAGCACAAGTAATAATGACCATGGTGTTCTTTCCACCCTTTTTCTAAAAGTTCTGCATCTTCATGAGTTTCCCAGGTTAGCTCTGACAATTCCGCGAGGGTGGTTGATAAAGTAAATGTCAACTAAAATTTTGACGTTCACCGATGTTTGGTAATGTGAACATGTCTCTCGTTAATATGAGCAGCTTGTTCTTGAGTCAGGATCGTATCATCTGTTTTAAATAGTGTAGCCATAGTTGAAAATAAACATTTTTTCAACAATTTTAAAAGTTTGCTTATGCAAAACATGCATGTTTCATCAAAGTCAGAGCAGAGTGAACCAATGAACTTTAAGCCGGATTTACTAGCAACGTTGATCCACTCAATCTCGCACATTGTGATGAGAAATTGACAGAGTCCCTACTTGTATGGACAGGTCACGGTCCGTTGGTTCATGTAATTGACTGTATTTCCTTTGGGATTCATCTAATTTCTTTTTAAAAACAACGTGACCATGACCAGACTGTCTTGATTAAAATTAGGAACAACTTGATTCCATTCAGTCAAGGTCACTTCTAAAATGTCCAAAAGATGGCTTCGCAGAGAATGAAATTGTAGAGGATTACATTCAATCAAGGTTTTCTGATTGTCATAAGCCACCGCTTTCATAATGGCCTTATTGCCATATTCGCTTTTGCTTAAATTACAAGACAGAAAAAGAGGTCGTGTGTTGACTTGCCCCTGATTTTTGGGGGTGGTGGAAGCCTTCTTGTCTCCTGTACTGGTAGTAATCGTCTCTGTGGTTGTTTGAGAAGAGTTTATGACAGGCTGATCATCGTACACATCAGGGACTTGTTCCACATGACCTTCCACCCCATACAGAGCTAAAAAAGTGTTGTCTTTCAATTCATCCGGGTATTAAGCAAGCAGCGGATACCCAATTTCAAACTTGATATTAAGCGTAGCATTGCCACTCCCAGATTTGGTGAATTGAATCGTAAGGGTGTGATAATAATCAAATGAGTCTTGTTCTGCTCATGAGTATGTTTATGAACCGTCAAATAATTGACTTCCAAGCCAGTACCTTCAGCCAAAAACTTGGAACTATTAAACAACCATTCCAAAGCCACAGTGTAGGTGTTGTTTTGGGTTAAGGAGCTCATTGGACACCCCATCCGGAATCTTGACCCCTTCCAATCAAGATACGCTAAGAGTCATGGGTTTCCAATAATGGGGAGACACAGGAAGGTCCACAAAGGAGTCATCCAAGTCCAGTCCTTTGTTTCACTTTATGACTGGCCGATAATTACACGTCATCCCTGACTATAAACGGTAGTTTGCGCCTCAATGCAACGCAACAGCGCTTATTCACATATGCACATGGATATGCGGATTGAAATCTATGTTTTAAAGAAAAATATTGAAATCCCGCTATTTGCAATTTGTTTTGGCGTCAGAGAATGTAGCATGTATGACTTTGCGAAAGAAAAGACGTAAGTTAATTTGACTGTCTCAGAGGAATTACTGAATTACTTGAAATGCATAGTACGGGAGTGAAGTTTTAAGGTCGAATGATTGAAGTTTACCTTTTTCGTAATTTAGCACTAATAATTTTGCTTCCTCAATAGTGCTTCCACGTGAGCTGCGAGCTGCAAGCTGCTGATAACAAGTCATGTGTGGTCAAATGTTGTGTTCACTTTCGGTGAGTACATAATACGTTGTGACTGAATGATCATGTTTGTCGTACCAAAACACGGCTAATAACGTTAAGACGAGTTTTGGACGGATATCATAGTGAATGGTTTATTAACCAGTAAACATGTCTCCATATGCTATAAAGACGCGTACTGCAGGCAAAATAATGGTGTGCTGCTTGTGGGTGTGGCGCGCAGGGCGAAATTTGGATATTAAATGATCGTGAGGTAGGAAAAAAATTCGGTGTTGAAGGTTAAACTTAGTTTGTTTATAGCGTTCAAATGCCCATCAGGTCCCCTGAGGGTTGTAGTTGACAGTTAAAATTGGTGTATTAAGATGACATGACATTACAACAGGATTGAGAATGTTCCTCCCGTTTTTCCCATATACACTGCTCTCTGCTAGTGTTTCCTCCGAGAACATTATGTCCATTAGTCTGAGGAAAAATGGTCCTGCAGATTTCGCAGTCTTTTTCACTTTCTCTAAAAGTGCTTTTGAAATGGTTACACCCCACTTTTCATCACCTAGAAAAACTTGTTTTAAAAGAGTGTTTTAAAAATCAGTATTCTAAACTACAGTAGACTCTCTCTTAACGGACACCTCTGTAAAAAGGACACTTAGAGTTGGTCCCTGCCTTTCTTTACTCCCTTTATTTGACTCTCTATAAGACCAGCGTGCAAAGAAAGTACTGTCCGATAGCCCAGGGCTAGTGGATTTTGCTATCGGGCTAGTGAGTTCTGTTTTTAACTTGGCTGATGGGCAAGTGATGTTTTATGAGGAATTTAACTAACAGAAGAACAAAACGTTTTTGGGGCTAGTTGAAATGACGTCTGGGCCAGTAAATGCTAGCTTCAGCTTGCCCGAATGGCAAGCTGTAAAAATGATTTTCTTTGCATCCTGAAGACGGACACCTCTCTAAGACGGACACTTAGTGCTTAGTGCTGGTCAAATCGTACTGGAGGATGGTGACACATCTGCTTTCCATAGCTATGGGACTGAAGGTTGAATATGCAGGGTAATAAATCACCAGAAATCGGAGAGGTTCTGTGCTTGTCAGCGTTTGTCCAATGTGTGAGAGTACTGCGGATGGGTTGTGATGTTGTGATCATGGTGAAACAGTGGCTTGTCCCTGGGTGTATCCCTTGGGAACGGACAAAAAAGTATACTTCCAGAGCGAATCTTTCGATCCATTTCTTCGTAAATTTGAACTATTTTGTACCTATTTTTGTGACGCATCGAATGTAACCGAGATAGAAATTGAGTAAATAGACGTGACAAATCCTTTTATGACCTGAAATAAACCTCGGTAGCTACATAATAAACCCAGCCCGCTTCTTGCACTTCAAATCCTTTTCGCCCTCAACTGAAGTTGATCTGTCGGTTTTTAATTTGGAAAGGAATGCCTCCATCTAAAAAGAAACGGCGACCCGTTACGAGGTCACAATCAAAGTCCTTGGTGGAAACAGAAGTTGTCAAAAGCGGGTTAGCACTTAATTTTCTTTTTTTAATTTTTTTTTCTGGAGAAACCAGGTTCTTTAATAATTTAGTATCATCATCGTTGTCGCTATTTTTGGTCTTGTAGCTTTTTTTCTCTCTTGGTTTTGGTAGTCGACCTCACTCGGAAAGGCAGAACAAAATGTATAGTGAGCCCATTTGATTTTTCTTTTTCGCGTCCAGTACAGATCAGAGAAAATTATTTAAAAGTTGCTCAAGACATTTTCTGGTCACAAAAGTTATGCTTTGATGAACATGGTTTTTTTTTTCTTGAATGGAGTTCACGCCACCAGACTAGGTTAAATTAACTGATTATTTTACACTTTTTCATTGCCTGAAAAGATTCAAAATGTGGAACTTGGGGCTAGACATTCCTGTATAAACTACCAAAACAATGTAGAATATTGCATTGTTGCTGTTGTGTTTCTTGGAAATGTTATAGCCAAATAGGGGAGGGGGAAACGGGGTGGTTTTCAAGTACTCCATTGATGCATTGGTTTGGTATTCAAATAGTACCTCACCTTTTCCCTGCAGTTCTCATGGGTCTGCCAGAAAGGGAGATGAAGATGAAACGAGCGATGATGACAACGAAGAAGAACGAAGGTACAATTTCAGTTACATTGGACATTCAAGAGCATCTGTCCCAAAAGGATGCTGTACAGTAAAAACCTGCATAAGAGAATCTAGATTTACAGAAGCTGTTAGGCTAAGATTGATAAATTCAGACCAACACTAAATACACACAGGGAATATAAGAAGCTCTACCATTTAGCAAAATGGAGATTAAACCATGGCATATCCACACCCACCAATCCAAACACCTTTCATTAATTTTGAAAGTAAGAACCTGGGGAGCCTAATTTTCCAGTTCAGTAGAATATTTTTTTTAGAACCTTCACAGCCAAGCTAGGAAAAACGAAGGTTCTCATTTGCAGGTTTTTACTGGGCTGCCGATTCTTGTATGTTATCAAAGTGTTTTAGGGTTGTACTGTGGAACTACCCCAAATCATAGTAGTCAAATAATTATTTTTCCATAGATTGAACAGGATTACAGAAACAAATAATTACAAAATAAAAATATTGTCTAATAATGGTGGGAGAGAACTTTCTAATGTTTGTGCTGGAAAAGAGAATATAAGATACATTATTCACCCATATTGTACTAGGAGAATTTAATGTTCTTGCAGGGAATTTATTGGTGACCGATCCCAGCCCAGAGACACAACATTGTCACATGTAGCCCTCGACAACAGGCGTGAAGATCTGGAGCCAGTAATAATCGTCCCGTACTTTCCGCGTGGCTTGGCTAAATCTACAGAGCAACCCTTGGACTTCAACTTTACCCTGTATTTGTACGACACCTTACGTCTGCCTCTTGGCCTTTAGCATTATAAATTTAATAGTGGTTGTAGTAGGACTATGAAAAAACAGTGACAATGAATAGAATAGCGGCAAGTCGAGCACAGTAGATCCTCCAAGTGCTCAGCCGATGGTAGGCGTGAGAAAAACAGACTTCGTAATTTAGACTTAAGAGAGGAGGGAAGAAATTTAAATATCAGTGGAGAAGAAGAAATAGAAAACTCTTTTAAGTCGGAACTGAGGTCATTAAAAAGTTTAGTAGCAGTATAGGCCAAGGTGTGTCTCCCAGAGTTGCTATGTGGGCATGGCACCTTTAAGTCGTAGAGAGAGGCTCTTGTAAAACGGCCCAGAGGTCCACGCGAATCACAAAGAAATTGAAATCTGTTCGTGAGACATTTAGGAGCATTTGGATTAAGGAGTACGATGAAAAGAAGAAAAAGTTTCCTGTATTTAATAAGATTAAAAAACGGGAATCCAGTTAAGTTTTAAAAATAAAGAAATAGAAGCCCAAGAGAGGTCGGCATCAAGGAGTATACACCCAGCACGCTTCTGAAGACGAAGCAGTCGTAAGAGGAGATGGTGGGAACAGTTACCCCAGGCAGCAGAACAATAAATAAAGTAGTTGTTAACACAAGAATTATAGAATCTTAAAGCAGAATCAAAGTTAAGGTAAGGTTTGATGTGACGGAGAAGAGAAAGCCTACTGCTAATGATGCAGCAGATTGTATCGATATGATGCTCCCAAGACATGTCACTGTCTATCATAACGCCCAGCATCTTGGCATAGTCCACTTGCTCAATAGATCTACCATCGATTTGGACATTGAGTGCCGAGCTGGTTAAAGTACAGCGTTTCTGCAGGGTCGTAATAAGTAAAGATTTAGTTTTGGTTGTGTTAAGTGACATTCGATTATTATCAGCCCACGTAGATACAGTTCTAGCAACTTCATTCAACTGAGTGCTGAGGGAAGTAACAGAGGGCCCTCGAACAAGAATAGTAGTATCATCCGCAAACATAGTTGAAGTTACGTCTGAATGTAGCTCTAACGGCAAGTCGTTGATATGAATAATAAAGAAAAGTGGCCCCTGGATACTACCCTGCGGCACACCTACAGAGACTGGAAGTGCTTCAGATAGAGTGCCCCTAAACTGGGTTTTTTGGGAACGTCCGGAAAGATAAGAGCGAAACCAAACTATGGTAGAATGGGAACAACCATAGATGCGAAGTTTATTAAGTAACGTATCATGATCCACAAGGTCAAAAGCTTTCTTCAAGTCCACTAACAAAAGCCCGTTAAGGAGTTTGTTATCCATGTTAGTCAAAATGTTATCAGAAAGATAGGCGATAGCAAGCTAACGCGAACGAGAACTACGGAAACCAAATTGCGAATCCAGCAGCAGGTCGTGTTGGGAAAGAAAGTAGTAAAAAGTTTGGTGTACGTGACGCTCAAGAATTTTTGAGACAACAGTCAGAACTGATATTGGGCGATAATTGGATCGGTCAAATAACGAACCGTCTTTATGCAGTAGAGAGACTTTAGCAGTAGCACTCTTTGACAGAAACTTGGCGGACGTACGCCTGGACGTGTTTTGGAATGTCATGTTAGTTAAGGCTCCCCACTGGAGC